CACCCACCGCCAACTCTTGGGCTACTCTTTTACCAATGAATAGTGGGATTGACCATCACATTCCAATGTCTCCATGGCTGAAAGTGCGACCATGTTCAGGCAATGGAAATTTAAGCCCATTACCTTCAGATTGCGAGCTGAGCACCTTAACCACCAGGCCAAAATATGAAATCATCAGTCTTAATTAAATAATAAAAACATTCTACTTAGTGTTTTTTATAAAGCTAAAATAATACACTTAAAACATTGTGGGTCAAAAGGCAGTGACAATGTGCAGTTTATTGATGATAATGGTTGTGTAAGGCATCCAAATACTCTATAAAATAAGATGACAAACATTATCTATTCTCAGATATTTTTCAATGGTCATATAAGCATCCTTACTATCCTTGTACCCAAACTGTGTTTTTTTTGCATGGTCACTGGAAAATAAAACTGTCCTTCTGAATATATAAATATAACTGCATAAACTAACATCTCTCTCATGAAATCTTTGATCTTCTAATGTTTCATTAGGTCATGTCTTGTCTTCTATTTTCAAAATAAATTATTACACTGGAAAATCTTTAGTGTTAGCTATATGTATTTTGTTTACAAATTTCAACTGATTTGGATTTTTGTCTTTCTAAATTTAATTTATCTCCTGCTCATAATTTTTCACTTTTATATACATTATTTTAATTTCCATTGAATACGTATTCAAACTCATAGTAATAAAAAAAATAATCATCCCACAACATTTCTTAAAACTTTGGTAGAAGGAATAAATATTTGTTATACAAGTCAGATAGATCTGTTCCTAACAGTGGACAATGTAATATGTACATATATATATATATATATCAATCAAACAAAAAATTAGTTATATAATGAAACTGATGCACATATAAATACTCAGGGAAAATAGACATCAGTTACAGATACATATTCAAACTAACTAGGGGAATGATATTAGTAACCAATACTTGAGTTATAATTCTGGACTAGAAACAAAGAAAGTGAGAAGTTTCTTAACTGGGGGAAATGCTAAAGTTGATATTTTCATAATCTGAAAATGTATTTCCGACAGATATTCACTACACACACACAGAAATTCTACTTCCCTCACATGTCTGCCTATGAGATTTGAATGCCATTAGCCT